GTTTGATTAATATGTTCTCTCTAGGAATCTCTAGGTCCTCCAGCATGAGTTTGCCAGAGACTGGCCATAGAGTCACACTGGAGGAACTAGAGATTCCTAGAGAAAACACTTCTCTAGACATTTGTAGGTTCTCCAACGTTATTCTTTGGTCAACCTCTGGCAGATGTTCATTATAGAGTTGTGCTGGGGGACCTAGAGATTCCTAGAGAGGTAATAATTTAAATTAAAAGTTAGTGGTGTTTTTTTTAAATTGGCATTTTCCCCACTTTCATGGGGGTCCTGCACCCACCCAGCAAATGTGGAGGGCCCACCGTACTCTATTGTTGCAAAGAAAAGGTGAATTAATAGCATTTGATCAGGGTGACCAGACGTCCTCCTTTTCCCAGACTTGTCCCACACTTCAGCCTTCTGCCCAGGAGGAATGTCAAAATGTCCTCCATTTTGAGCATGGCTAAGAAGCATGGATTAATGTATTTAAGTTTTATTTGGTAATCCCCTACATTTGTTGTGAACACCCTACATTTTTTGGTGCCTTGTCCTCCTTTGTGGTTAGAACATCTGGTCACCCTACATTTGACATTTCCTTCAACCATGAGATCAGCTTGGAAAAGTTCCCCTTTTTTTTGGATTGCAAGTCTCAGAATCCCCTAAAGGCTAACCATTGACCATCCTGGTGGGAAATCCTGGGAGCTGTAGTCCCCAAAAGTAACTTTCCCAAGCCCTGGAATGTTTTCAATCTTTTGTGTGAGGAGACTGTTCTTTGCCTAGGCTTTTCCATTTTGACACAGACCGATTAGCGTCCTTTCCAATTAACATTCCAGCTGTTTTTCCTGGCATGTTGCATTTTTTTTAAAAAAAAGATTTTATTATTATTATTATTATTTTAAAAAGTCTTGTAACATCAATCCAAAAAATTTAAAATGAAAATTCAAAAGAAACCTCTGACCCGTTGCTTTGTCTTGGGGCTGCAGAAGATACCAGAGGTAAGTCGTCAAATTACAGAAAGTGCTTTCTTTGTAACTCGGCACCTGTGGAATGTCATAATAAAGCCATTTTGGTCAGAACGTTGCTTTTTTCTCCTCTTCTCTCTCTCTTTTTAAAAAAAGCCAACAAAAAAAGAGTGCTGGAAGGGGAAATGTATGTAATATTTCTCTAAAAAAGAAGAAAAAGTGCTGGTGTTGGTGGTGGGGAGAGAAGCCAGCCCAGTGCCTCTTTGAGAGAATGGCTCGAAGGATATACCTACTGGCCGGCCGGCCGGCTGACTCTCTGGCTGGCCATCAAATGCCATAATAAACCCTGATTAAGGCTCAGCTGTGAGGTTAGTGGCATGGAATTTTGCGGAATTCTAAAATGAGATATTTATTTGTCTTGGGATATTTCATGGGCTACAAATTGCTCCTTCATCTTGGCTCCAACCAACTTCAGAATTGTCAAATAAATAGATTTTTTTTTTTTTTTTAAAAAGGAAAGGCTGACATTCTGTCAGATGTTTCCAGTGGTGCCTCTCCACATTTGCTGGAGTTAAAGGACCCCCATGAATGTGGAGAAAATGCAAATAAAAATCCACTATTCTTTTTACCTAAGGGAACACTTCTCTAGGAATCTCCAGGTCCTCCAGAGCAACTCTATGGTCAACATCTGCCAGAGGTTAACCATAGAATCAAGTGTTTTCTCTAGGAAGTTATAGGTTCTCCAGCACAACTCTGTGGTCAACTTCTGGTCCTACTCTATTCTGCTTTGGTCAGATCTCACCTGGAATAATCCTGTGTCCAGTTCTGGGCACCACAATTCAAAAAGGATGTTGACCAATTGGAGCGTGTCCAGAGGAGGACAACTAAAATGGTGAAGGGTCTGGAAACTATAAAGCCCTATGAGGAGAGACTTAGGGAACTGGGTATGCTTAGCTTGGAGAAAAGATGGTTAAGAGGGGATATGATAGCCCTGTTTAAGTATTTGAAGGGATGTCATCTTGAGGTGGAGGAAGCTTATTTTCTGCTGCCCCAGAGATCAGGACCCAAAGCAATGGATGCAAACTCCAGCAAAAGAGATTCCACTTCAGCCTAAGGAAGAATTTCCTAACAATAAGAGCTGTTTGACATTGGAAAACACTGTTGCCTGCTTTGGAGGTTTTTAAAGAGAGGCTGGATGGCCATCTGTCACCGGGTGGATTTTGATAATGTCTTCTTGAATGGCAGAAAGGAGTTGGACTGGATGACCCTTGGAGGTCTCTTCCAGATCCATCCTGCTACTGCACCGTGGTTAATTCCATTGCTACCTCTCTGTGTCTTTTCTAGGATTTATAACAAGGGGATCTGGTCCAAATCACTGGCCCTTAGAAATGTAAAATTGCCAGGGTTTCCCAAGAATTGCCTATTCCATCCTTCTGCCATGCATTAGCTCACAGCTAAAGCATCTCTGAAAGGTGGTCCTACTCCAACAACTTTTAAGAAACCTCCAAGGTAGAGTCTAATCCATTATCAAACACTATTTACAGCTAGGAAATTCTTTCTGAGGCTTAGTTGGAATTTTGTAATTGCTTGTAATTTTAATCCATTGTTTCAGTTCTTGCCCTTCAGTGCAGCAGAAAATAAGCTTGCTCCATCTTTTGTATGGGATCCCTTCTGAGATTTAAAGATGGCGATCATATCACCTCTCTGTCTTCTCTTCTCCAAGCTAAACATACCAAAAATCATTTATAGACCATTTTGCTTGTCCTCTTCTGGACATGGTTCAGCTTGATAATATATCTTCCTTGAATTGTGGTGCTCAGAATTGGATGCAATATTCCAAGTGAGGTCTGACCAAAGCAAAATAGAGGGGTGCTGTGACTTCTTTTCATGATAACATAGACATCCCTTGAGCTCAACATTATAATTATAATTCTCTTGGGCTGCTGTCACACTGCAGAAATTAAACAGTTTGACACCACTTTAACTGCCATGACTCAATGCCATGGGAATTCTTGGATCTGTAGTTTTATGAGATACTTCACTTTCTCTGATAAAATTACCAGCTTCATAGATGAAGGGAATGCAGTAGACATAGCATGTCTTGATTTCAGTAAGGCTTTTGACAAGGTCCCCCACGACATTCTTGCAAACAAGATGGTAAAATGTGGGCTAGACAATACAACTGTTAGGTGGATTAGGAACTGGTTGGCTGACCGAACCCAAAGGCTGCTCAGCAATGGCTCCTCTTCTTCCTCCTGGAGAGAAGTGACCAGTG